AAAAAAAAAATTTTTTAAATAAAAAAAAAAAAGAAAGAAAGAGCTCCTTGCACACAGGAGCTCATTTAATCCACTTAGTATGCCTATAGGGGGAATCTGTGCTGATCCATCAGATAGTTGATGATGTCACTCCTTTAGCAAACATTCAATGAGCCCTTTCTATGTGCTAATCCCAGAGGATACACATGCGCAACAAAACACAGACCCCTGGCTTGAAGACTCCCTCAGCTGGTCTTCTGACCCCACATTCAGTGCTATGCAGACCTTTTGGGCCTTGTTCATCCATCTGTCTGACCATCCATCCACTCATTCATTCATCCATTCATTTAACAAACTTGTGTTGAGGGCTGATTCTGTCCCAGGTACTATGCTGGGATCTGGGTCATAAATTAATAAGGCAGCAATCTATCTCACAATTCTATGGATGGGAGTGGGGGAAGGACAGACATTGAATTTCATCAGACCATCAACATTGCCAGACGATGTATCCCAAGTGTCTCACAATTCCCAAATCCCAAATAAACCCATTTTATGTTATTCCCTCCATAAAAAATGCAATTGTTTTACTAGCCAGAGCACTTGAGTGAACAGCTTGCCAACTCTTCTTTGCTATTTCTGTACAGAGAATACGATATGCCACTAATACTGTTTTATCAAGCAACCATCAAAATCAGCCTCCCCATCTTTTTTATACAAAACAGCGATTTTCTGGTTTCAAATAATCATTCTTCTTAGACCGCCTCAATTTTATCACCAGCAATGGCACTTGGCTATCTTTTCCATCTTTTTTCACTAAAAACAAACGTTTTATCCCTTTGCAAGTTTCTTCATAAGGCACAATGAGCGAAGACCAACAAAACTGCATTATGATGGGAAAGCTGAGTGTTGCAGCCAGAATTGTCCCTTAACCGACTCCTTTCAGCACACCAGTGTCAGGGTGAATGTGATTCAGATCATGTCTCAGCAAAACTACAGAATGCCGTGTGCCTTGATGTCACTCCCTGTGGATCAGTCAAGACTGTGAGTATTCACACTGTGAATGCCGCCTCTGCAGTGCAGTGTGTGAGTGCTAAGAAGTACTTCACTCCACGTGGTTTTCACTTCCTTCCTCCAAGTCTCAGTTTTCCTTCCTTGTGACCTTGCCACAGAGGCACCCTGGGAAGCCTTCTCTGGTCACTTACCCCAATCCAGCCACTCCCTTCTGGCCAGCCTTCCACATGACAGTCTAAACAGCATCACTATTGTACCAATTGTCTGATGGTCATTCGGTGTCTCTTCCTTTGAAGAAGGTGTGTGCCCATCTTCCCTGATAGAAAGTTTCCTGAGGACAAGGCCCAGGTCCCAGCCTCCCTCTGGGTCCTCTCTACTCACTCCCAGAACCAAAGGAGTGAGGGATTCTCAGCAAGTCATGGGGGGAGCAAAAAGACTCCAAAGTGCCCCTTGAAATCATTCCCCCAGAACCTTTAGCACCTGTCTGTAAAACTTCCCTAAGTGGGACCCTTAAATTTCACATCTTGCCACTGCCCTCAGCAGAGGAAATTCAATGCCAGCTGATCTTCACCCAGTTACTAAAGGAGCTTTACCACCCAGAGAGGGGTAGTCCTGCCATTAGTCTTTGCCGAGGCTTCTAGGGTAGGCATTTCTGGTGGTTTCATACAAAGGAGGCAGGACAACCCCAGTCACCCCTAGGGGCGGTAAAATCATGTTGTAAAAGAATCTTTAGTGCTTCTGCTTCCTGGAAGTTGTAGTAGACATACTTTTTCCTATTCCTCCCATTAAGTACAACTAAAAACCTGGACATTATATCTGAAACAAACATAGGACTCTGACAGGTGGAGAAAATAAGACACACCAGCTAGAGACTCAAGGAACAACATGGTGGCAGTTCCCTGGATATTTTTTCCTCGTATATCCCAGACTTGAAGCAGAAGAAACCTACAACCTGGAAACCCCAATAGGTACAAATAAAAAAATCCCCAGCAAAAGCTTATGTTTTCTAGCCAAAGGGCCAAGAAAGGGACAGCCTAACAAGACAGAAAACTTTTAGTGATAACCACCCCACACCAGCCAAACACCACAGAGAGAACTGTAAAACCACCACCACCATGTCATTAAAGTCGACTCCACTTTGAGGAGGCAGGTTGTCCCCAGTCGTATTCTGAGTGCCTTCCAACCTGAGGGGCTCATCTTCCAGCACTGTATCATACAGTCTTCCACTGCTATCGATAAGGTTTTCACTGGCCAGTTTTCTCAGAAGTAGACTGCCGGGTCCCTCTTCCCAGTCTGCCTTAGTCTGGAAGCTCTGCTGAACCTATCTAACATGGGTGACCCTGCTAGTATTTGAAACACCGGTGGCATAGCTTCCAGCATCACAGCAACATGCAAGCCACCACAGTACAACAAACTGACAGACAAGTGGTGGAGAATCCTTAACTCAGCAAAAATACCCTTCAGGAATGTAGGGAAAATCAAGACATTCTCAAATGAAGAAAAGCTAAGAGAATTAGTCACCAGCAGATATATTCTAAAAGAATGGCTTAAGGAAATTCTCTGAAGAAAAAGGAAACAAAAAAAGAAGAGGCATTGGACTATCAGGAAGGAGGAAAAACACGTAAGCAAAAATATCAGTCTATATACTTCTCCCCTTCAATTCTATCTCCCCAAGAGCCTAAAAGTTGCTCAAAGGCAGGAGGTATGCCCTTCCTATCCCTGGCCATCTTCTCTCCCCTGAGTGCTCAGAGCAGAGCTCACGAATGGGAACTGATGAGATCCAGCCCCAATTCAACACTGCTGGACTGGGGTAGTGCTGGTGCTGGTGCTGGTGCTGGGATGAGAACTCCATTATGGGTAAAGCAGGAGACAAAGAGTCAGAGCTGCCCTGCAACCTAAGCCCCCAGTCTGTTTCTTCCTACTCCACACACTCTGGCCATTTACCTAATAATAAACCTCATAATCATAATGATAGCAACAGGATTACCCTCTAATTAGGCAATAATGACACCAGCTTGGCAGTCAAGCAAGGCTCCAGGGCCTGAAGTCATTGTTTTAAAAGCAAAAGCTGAGCTTTCCCAATAAAGGGAGAAAATAAGGGCCATTTTTGCCCACCTTCCTTGGCTAAGTAGAAATAGCATACCCTTCCAACGTGCTCTTCTCCAGGTACAGATAACTGTACAAGAAGGAGAGAACAGAGAGTGAGCATCTGTGTATAGGTGGGTATGTGTGTGTGCTGCAGGGTGGCAATTGGTGGCCCAGCTGGATAGTGCATATTTTAAAAGTTTCCAAGGAGAATGAATTTTCCTTGAAGTTTATCGGAAGAGCCTGGAGGGGAGGGAGTGGGGAAAGGTGGGAGTAGGTAACACTTCAGAAAGAAACAGGAATACAAAATCTTGTTCACAAACGATAGAGGCCCACATACCTTCCTAGCCCAGCTGGTCACACTGCACATTTATTTCACACTAGGCTCTGCCTGGAGTGTGGTCCCTAAGACACATTTGCTTCTGTTACATTTTTATCCTCATCCCTGGAGAAGGGGAGACACTTAGACTCACCCATTCTCATGCCTCCCTCCAGGTGGGTGATCCACACTAGCTTCCTGGGTGAAAGGAGGAGCGAGCTGGCTTGCATCATCCAGTTCTCCATAGCCCTTCCCCTCTCCTGCTCCCTGAAGTGACTACTCAGGGTCTGTAAACCCATGGGAGGCAGAGAGTCTCAATGACCAGAATGGGTCAGATGGGGCTTTATAGTCAAATCAAAACAGGTTTTTGATAAACTGCAGTTGCCGATTATCAGTATCAGAGCTAGCATCCAGTAAGATGGACAACTGAGAATTGACTGAGATACAGAAAAGGGCTTGTGTCCGTGCCTTTAAGTCAGAGCTTCTGTACCATAGAGGAGACAATGTAGACTGGAAGACATCCCAGGGGTGTAGTGAGAGGCAGAGGAGGGGTGCCTAAGAGCCCCGAAGGCCCATTGAGACTATGTGAAGGGTTTCCTAGGGGGCTCCAAAATGGGTTGTGAAAAAATAAAAACTTGTTTTGACCCAGGAGCCTGTCTCCAAGTTGCCAAAGAAAATCAAAAGGTGGTGGGTAGGGCCAGAGCAGATAGGTACAATGTGAAATTCTCAGGTAGATGGACACCAGGAGAGGTCAGGACCAGAGATGAGGCTTGGCCTCTGCATGGGAGACCTACTGATTTCTATGCCCTGAGCTGGAGCCCTGGTTTCTCGTTGAACTGGACTCCTCATTGCCCACATCAGAACTGATGTCTCCAGAATTCCCAGCTTCAGATCGGGACCCTTGGGAGCTCCCACTGGATTCAGAACTGGATGGTGTGCTGGATCTCCTGGTGGAGCTGCCTCCCTTCTAAGAGACTCTGCCCCCTGAGCTGAGGCCAGATGCAGCTGCCCCAGAAATGGAGGTTGTGCTTGACATCACAGCTGGGGAGACAGAGAGGGAGGTTCAGGGCAGCTCTGGGCACCTTCTAATTTTCTCAACACCAATCTCACACACACCATTGAGGGACATCTCTCTGCAGCATCCCCCAAGGGAATAATGGCCACCAATGACAGGGCGTCCCATGCCCTCCATCTACCTGGGCCATCTCCACCACCAGACTGAGGGTCTGGAGGCAGAATCTCTGCTTCCTCAGCCTGGAGGCAAGCATAGGATTCTAGACGGAAAAGGAACCTTGAAGCTCCTTGTATCCCCTCCAGAAGGCTGCATTACTAGAAGTGACTTGCCCAAGACCCCCTAAGAGTACCTGCAGAGCCAGGACAGGGCCTCAGGACCTCAGCCTCCTAGCCAAAGGCTCCTCTCTCTTTACCTCAGGAGAAGAGGAAGAATGATGCCTGACTGCCCAGCAAAGGAGAATCCCCTTGGATACTTACAGTAGCTCATGTTGCTGGTGACTTCTCCAGACAGCCTATTTGCATGAAAACAATCAGAATGATGAGTAAATCCTCTGGCCAGGGCTCAGAGGAGAATAATTTCCAGAGGGAAGGCTACCCTAGGTCTGATCCATAATTCAATCTCACATAATTCAATACTTGGGCCTCCAAATTCCATCAATTCCCACATGGAGTGATAAGGGCAGCCGTTCTCAGTCAATTTGCCCTGCCACTTGTCATAGCCACTCATACCTCTCCCAGTCCCCTCAGACCTACAGTCCCTATCTATCCTTTCCCCAGCTTGGGATCAGTCCAGCCATGACTGGACTAGGCAAAGCTAAGGGAGGCAGCTATGCCTTTCTCTGTGCCTTTCTCAATGGCAAGGAAATCCCCCTTTTTCCCTTTGATCCAAGAGAGGGGAAGTTTGGAGAAGTTAAGGACTCCAGCATACAGAGCCAGGATCTGTGCTAATCATGTGCATTCTGGAAAAGGCCCAGACTGTACACACCCTTGCTGGACAAAGCTTGGGTGGCATTTCAGGAGTGGGTATTAACGTCCTGTTATAGAGATGGGAATGCCGACACAAAATCACCACTGTGACGAAGTGTAGTGAGGACATTGCCCATTCCCTCTGAATAACCCACCTGGTCTCCTCGCCCTCCAGCAGCTTGCGGTATGTAGTGATCTCCACATCCAAGGACAGCTTGGCTCCCAGCAGTGCCTGGTAGTCATGCAGCAGCCAGGCCAGCTCCTCCTTGGTCTGGTGCAGGACAGCCTCCACCTCAGCCACCTTCTCCTGGGCATTTTTAAGTGTCACCTCACCCTTCTGCTCTGCCTCCAAGATAGCATCTTGCAGGGTAATACTCTGCTAAGGGCCAACAGCAGGTAGTGAGTGGAACACAGGTGACCAGCTACCTACCTTAACCTAGCTTCTCTCTTCCCCACCCTCATAATCACCATTTATTGTGGAAAATGTAAGGATACAGAAAAGTAGTAAAAAAATATATCTTAACACCACCCCAAAGGCTACCACTGCCAAGCTGATGCTCTACCTGTTTCTTGAGGTTGGTCATTTTGGCTTGAAGTCTCTGGATGACTTGGTTCAGCTCACTGACCTCCATCTAAATCACTTTGAGGTTATCACCGTTTCTCCCAGCAGTGACCTGGAGCTCCTGGTACTGGAATCAGAAAAAGAGAAGAGTGAAAAGATGTCACAAGAAGAGCCAATCCACAGGGCTCCTCACTGCAGATTTCTAAGCCCTTATTCAACCAGGACTTGTGTGTCCTGTCCAGTCTGGGCACTGTGGGTAAAACATATAGAGAAGACACATTCCTATCTGCTGGGAATTTATATACAGCATAGTTATTTATGTACCTATCAAAGATCATCTAGCCATATCTCAGACAAGAAAACACCTCTATTCTGTCCTTTTTCAGTCAAGTCTTGAAGGAAAAGATAGTAGCATAGATAATTCACAACAGGAGGAAGTCACTATCTTCTGTGGGAACCTGGAATTATTATTTGCTGCTGAAGAACCACATTATATCTTGTTTCACTCAGGTAAGTATTAGGAAGGTCAGGATCCTGAAGATATGCTTCCACAGATAGTAGAGTTTGAAGGCAGTGGGGAGCACATAGAGGTAGAAGGAAGCTGGTCTGGACTGAAACATTGGCCACTGTGATACCTGGGATGAAGAGCTCACTGTACCAGTTTGAAAGCCGACACATGGGGCTGTGAGCCCTTGATGGCCCTGAATGTGCCTGGTTCTGCAGAGCTTAGTCAACTCCCCCAACATAGAACTGGCAAGGCCTCAGGAAGCCAGAGCCTTAGTAACTTCCAGTGACTGAGCCAGAGACTTTCACAGGTTGTCAGGACACCCTACCAACCACAGGGCCAATGAAGCAAGTCAACCTGATGAGAGGTAAGGGACTGGAGGATCCTGATAACCCACCTGGGGACAACCAGGTGCTTACCTTTCTCTGGTACAGGGCCTCGGCCTCAGTCATGCTTTTCTGGATGATCTCCTCATATTGGGCTCAGACCTCGGAGATGAGGCCATCCAGGTCTAGGTGTCGGTTGTTGTCCATGAACAGGATCACCTTGGTCTTATTGAGTGTCTGCTGCACCTGAGCCAGCTCCTATGTAGCAGGGCAGGAATCATTCCCCAAGAAACACTTAGCCACCCACCTCTCAGGCTCCCAGAGCCACCTCAGCACCAGTCCACATGGAAGCTTAGGGGCAGTTGAGGGTGCTTCCCTTCTGGAGCCTTCTCCCTCTTCTTCCGTTTACCAAGCATCGTAGGGGCTTCCAGGAAGCTTAGGCCCCACACTTACAGCAGTGTACAGGACTTGGAGGAATTCAGTCTCCTGCTGCAGGGCATCTACTTTGGCACTGAGGTCCACCTTGACCAAGTAGTTACTGTTGACATCCTAAAAGAAGGGAGGTATTGGGCCCCTGAAGATGGGAGCAGAAGACTTTTACCTGCACAGTTGGGATGCCAGAGAGAGTAGCATCAATAAGGCAAGCATTGGAGGAAGATCAATTCTCCATCTAAAAATAACAGAGTGGGGACAATGCCAAGTGGGTTTGTAATCTGAACAGCGATATCCTTAAAAAGTTGAAAACAGAACTCTCGAGCCTGAAAGCAGGGTGGCCTTTATTCTTATTAATACTTGCAGGCTTGCACTTGGCACACTGCTCACTCATGGGTTAACTGGGGTGTGGGATTATTCACAGAGGAGGACACCGCATCCCAGTGCAAAGCAGGGTAAAAAATAACTGAATTAAGACCTGGGAAGTAAAGCCAGCTGCTTCTCACCTTCTTAAGCAACACAAAGTCATTCTCAGCCTTTGTCTGGTTGTTGATTTCTGCTTCACTTTTTTTCTAATGGGATTTAGCAGACAAAATGATTGTTATGTCTAAAGAGATTCCCTTTACCCTAATTTTCTACACCTCTGTGCAGACAACCACAGATTCACAGGAAAAAAATTTTAATAAAAACTGAAAAAAAAAAAAAAAAAAAAATCCCCAAGATTCCTGAAAACAGAAACCAATTCTGTGCCTTAACACTTCTTTTAGACCTAGACTAGGGAGTCACACTTAAATTTTGGCCCAGCACCAACTTCCCTACCTTCCTCTGACTCACTCACTTCTTCCTGTATTCCTCCACAGAATCCTGGGTGTTCTTCAGCTCTGCTTCCTGACCAGATTTCTCTGCCATCAACTTGCCCATCTGCCTCCACAGGCTGTTAACGTAGCTCTCAAAGAAGGGCTCCAGGCTGGCAGCGTAGGTGCTGACATCCAGCTGCTGCAGCAGTACCCACTTGGTCTGCAGCACCTGGTTCTGCTGCTCCAGGAACCACACCTAGAGTCAGGGCAGCAAAGGCTCAGCCCCAGGTGAGGACCATCATGGGCTTGAGAAGCCCCTGCTGGCCGGGCAAGAAGAATGAGTGATTCCAGTTTAGCCTTAATTCCTGACTTGCTTTGAGAGAGGTTTTTCAGCCTGTTATTTGAAGAAATTTCAGGTATGTCAATATGACCAATTGCTTAGAGTATGATTCTCAAACTCTGAGGTGTATTAGAATCACTTGGAAGATCACAAAGAGCAGGTTTCTTAAAGCAAGATAGGGTCTGGGCCAAGTTACTAAGTTCTGAAGTTGATTCTGATTCCCCTCAGAGTCTGAGGACCACTGTCCTAGATCATTCAGGCAGATGAGGTGTTAGGAGGAGATTCTTTAATAAGCCAACAAAGTCACGCACTCTCAGGAATGTTCTTTTACCATATAACCCCAACTATTTGATGTAGATAAAAATCTTCCCTATCCTCTCCCTTCTCAGTTTTCATGGCATTGCAAGTTAACAGCAAGCAACAAGTAGCAAAAGAGGATAGCTAGCTGATGACGAGTACTGTGTTTAGCACCTTCCTGGTAAGATCGTGAGACATATTTTCCCTACAGCAAATCTCCTCTCCTCCCCCACCCCACCATCCCTACCAACTCCCTCCTCCCTCTACTCCTCAATCTCCCAGCAACCTTCCAAGGCAGGCAAGGGAAGGACATGCTACCTCAGCGCATGAGTCTACACTGATAAGACTGTGCTAAACTCAGAGTTTGGGGCACATTCACCAATTCGACTTTAATTCTTACTGGCTCCTGCTCATTTTTTCCCAGCTCCAAATCTATGCAATAGTGCTAATCCACAGTTGCTCCTCCCTAAGGAAGGGCACCCCAAGAAATGTGGGGCTAGACAAAAATAGAACAGTTCTCCCAGACAATCTTGAGTGTCCCATAGGAGCAAACTCAAGAGACAGCCCTCCTGCCCCCTCATCTTCCCCCAGGACTCTCTCCAGCCTCAATTCAGGGTGGTATTGTGTGGCTAATTTAAGAAGTCTGGCCTCCTTTTGGTGTTAAAAAGTAGATGGTCAGGATTTGGGCAATGAATATAGTTCACCACTCCCAGCCTGGCCAACAGTCAAAAACTACCTGGCCAAATCATTGGCATTGGCTCTCCACTCCTTTTCCTGAACACATTAACTGGTCCTGGATACCATCTGATTTTTGTGCCCTCTCCCCTATTTGCTGACTTTGAGAGCAGAAATGTCAGTTTGCTGCCAACATACTCAGAAAGAACCTCCTAGATTCAGAAACACATGGTAACTTAGGGGGAATAAAACACTTGCCAATTTCTTAACACATCCACTTGCAAAATTCCACTGACTATCCCAAATTCACTAAGACTGGACATGTCAGCCAAATATGATTACTGTGCATGCAGGAGGGATCACCTTTATCTCAGAGTGATGCTGCAAGACCCCAAGATTAACACTCCAATGGAAGGTTGCTGAAGTTCAGACCCAGTTTCCTAGGGAGGCTTGGAGAGCATGAAAAACAAGGTGAGCACATTCCCCCAGGGCCAAATTCACAAGACAGGCCTGAATTAGTTGGCTTCAGATAATCTAGACCTACACTGTCAAATAATGTGGCCATTGGCCACATTTCCATAGTCACAGAAAGACCTTTTCTGAAGGTCTCTGGAATTATGCACTCCTGGCTGTCTGCCCTCTAGGCGTTGGCTCTCACCTTGTCAATGAAGGAGGCAAACTTGTTGTTAAGTTCCTTGATCTGCCCTCAGTCCTGCTGCTTCATCTTCTGGACCTCGGGGTCAATCTTCACATCCAGAGGCTCGAACAAACTTTGGTTCATTACAACTTTCTGGACACCCCCAGGGCAGACAGCAGGGCCTACAGCCCAAAGCCCCCAAGACCAACTCCAAGGCCAAAGCCCACACTGGCAAGGCTGCCCCCCCTGAAATGTCCACCCCCATGACTCCCCAGCCTGCCATCATGGCCCAGGCCTCCAGCTACGCTGGCAGAGATGCTCTTGCTCCCCCCGAGGCTAACAAGACTCTGGCTACTGAAACCTCCAGGTCCAGCATAGCCTTGGCAGCGACCACCACTCTTACAAACCAGCAAGGAGCTTCCTGCCCCTCTCTGGTACATCCCTGGCAGGATGGCTGAGCCACTGCTGAATCCTCTGCTCTGGCTTCTCAGGGCAAAGACCTGCTGGCTCATGGTGATTCACGGGGAGCGAGTGACAGAAGGTGGAAGACGGAATCTCAATGTTTCTCTGACAGACATGGAGGGCTCCCCTTATATACTTTCTGGAGTTGGCAGCTTCCCAAGGAAAAATTCATGGGTTTGGCTCTCCTGCAGCAATAAGCTGAAAGTGACAAGAAAATAGTAATACCATCTACTTGGGAACAGTACGTCAAATAATTATTGCTTAGTTAGTTTTTTGTTATTATTATTTATCTTTCAGCTATCTGCTGACCTACGCAATATGAGGTGTGTATAGTTATACCCAAAAGGCTCTCAACAGGGTGTTTCCTGAGATTGTTGTTATTCCAACACTTTGAGTTTCTATCAGAGTGGTATCAAAACTTGAAATACACTTTCTAGAAGCTTTAGAATAGATACATGGGTGAAATTGATACCTAGAAAGAATGGTGATTCAGAGATATCCACTCCATACAATTTACTATAGTTGACGGGAATAGTTTCTGCCTCTCTACTAAAATATAGTTATAGATGATATAGGCATAGATATGGAGAGAGGGATGTATGTTTTCCCAAAACAAATGTTCCAAAGATAGAGTAGTTAAATAAACTGTGCCCACCAATGTAATATTACCCAGACAATTAAAATAATTGTTGCAGGGTTTATGCAAACCTAAAAACATTTCTGTTATAATGTTATGTGAGAAAATCAGAAATCAAAATCGAATAATCATTATGATCACTAAATCATAGCAATATAAAAAAGCCTAGAATAAAATTGGAGGTATAGTGTGAACATAGCTATATATATTTTAAAAACTGACTAAAGCTAAATACTTTAGAAAAGCATGTTCAAAAAGAAAATATATCAGAATGTTAACAATAGTTGTTTCGTGTGGTTGATTCTTGAAAATTCCGTCTATTTTTCCAAGTTTAAGATAATGAACAAGTATTATTTTTATAATAGAAACAATCTGGCTCCATGAAGCTCCAAACCCCTCTGCAAGGAGGTGAAGCAACCATTCTTGTAGATACTCAAGCAGGCCAAGAACGCTTGAGCCCTTCTTTTGTTCCCTCCGTATCATGAGGGTGGCCACCAGAGAGAAAATTCTGGGCCCAGGCTCCTCTCTCTACCTTTTACCCAGGCCAGGAAAATGCAGGTTACCACATTGACTAGTGATCCCATCTTGGGCCCCTAATCTCCTCTTCCCCCTGAGACTGTAGACCTAGCAGAAGTGACCTGTGAGACAACCACGCACACTCTCACACACAAATATGCATTGGCAGGGCTCTCTACCTCTCTCAGCTGATCTCCTTCTCTGGGTCCAGGCTGAGAAGCAGAGGTGTCTCCCCACCCTATAATCCTGTACCCTCCCTGCTAAGCCAGTCCTCAGTAGCAGGCTGCACCCGCTATGTGAGTACCCCCTACCTGGTCACTGGGCGGAGAGCCAGGCAAAGGAGGAAAACAGAGTGGAATGTAGCAGGAATGATGTGGGATTTAACACTCTTTGTCTTAGTTTTCAAATCTAGATCCGCCACTGCCTTGTTTTGTGACTGTAGGCTTTTGAGCCTCAGTTTTGTCATCTATAAAATGGGGTGATAGCAACACTGACCTCTGCTACTAAACCAGGGTATTATGGAAGCTTTTCAGGGGTATGAAAACAGGTTAGCTTTTACTGTGGAAATTTTATAAAGATAAATTTTCAAACCCACTTCTTTTCCCATCAACAGCACTAAGAGCAGCTTGCATAACATTTATTGTCTGATTATTGTTCCTGACACTGTGCTACATGAGATAACCTCCTTTAATCCTGACAATAGCACTGTGAGGTAGGTGCTACTATTATCTTCATTTTTTGGAAGTGGAAACTAAGATTCAAAAGATTAAGTGCTTTGCCCAAGTGATGCAACTAGTTAAGGGGTGGAGGCAGGATTTAAACCAAGGCTGTCTGATTCAAGAACTCAATACATGCATGTTGAATTAAATCAAATATTAAATCCGTAAATGCTGAGGAGATGAGGATTGGACCCCAGTTAGGAGGCAAGTGATGAAACTTTTGGAGAAGGGGAGGGAGAAGGGAGAGAATGCAGTCTTAATAGAGCAGGGGAGGGGTCCCACGACACATGAGGGTTGGGAAACTAGCCTTCTAAGCTGGGTCACAGAAAACTGGAAGGGTGAGAGGGAGACAGGGGTGAGATGATAGACCAGGCCTAGGCAGACATGGTTAACCATGATGAAAGTGACAGGAGGAGGGGCAGAACGTGATTGTGCAATCCTGACTATTTTTTCCTTCTCCTTTTCGGGCAAGGCTGGCGTCCTAATCCATGTCAGATAGTCATCATTTTTAAACATCACTTTCTAAAATTTTTCTGGAGCACTCAATGCGTATTTGACCTTGGACCAAGGTCTCGGGAAGTTCGTGAACTGGAGAAAGTGTTCTCCCAGCCCTTAACAAGTTTCCAGTTTAAATAATCTAAGTAGGCTGCAGTCAGTCCTCAAGCCCTGTCTCTGCTCCCAGCCCCTGCACTGGACATCTTGGAGCATCCTCCTCTGGGCCTCCCAGGTTACAGTCCTCACCTGTTCCAGCCCATTCCAGCAGGCCGCTGGCTTCGTCTTCCTTCGGACCCTGTGCAGAAACCTGCAGTGGTTCCTCATGCTCTGCCACAATGAATGGTCAGGAAACCATATCTTTTTAGTTTGTTCTTATTATAAAGGAAATATATGTTATTGTTAGCTGCCTCAAGTTGACTCCAATTCATGGCACCCTTTTGTACAACAGAACGTAACATTACCTGGTCCTACATCATCCTCACAATTGCCAGCGTGTTCAAATCCATTGTTGCAGCTATTGTGCCAATCCATCTCACGAAGTGTCTCCCAGGCCCTCATTAGCCCTCTACTTTATTAAATGCAATGTCATCCTCTAGTGATTGATCCCTCCTGATAATGTATCCAAAGCAAGTAAAACAGACAGTGTTCTATTGTGACCCATAAGGTTTTAATTGGCTAATTTTCAGAAGTAGATCTCTAGGCCTTTCTTCCTAGTCTGTCTTAGTCTGGAAGCTCTGCTGAAACTGGTCCATTATGGGTGACCACGCTGGTATTTGTTTGTTTTTTTCTTTTTTATTGTTGTAGTTAAATGAAGTTTATATTTTGAGTTAGTCTCCCATACAAAATTTTATACATATATTGTTATGTGACCCTAACTGCTCACCCCATTCTGTGACAGCACACTCTTCCTTTCTGCCCCTGATTCCCCATGTCCATTTAACCAGCTCCTGACCCTCTCTGCCTTCCTGTCTCACCTCGGGACGGCAGCTGCCCCTTAGGTCTCTTGTACCTACCTGACTAAGAGGCACACTCTTCACGAGTATCACTTTATGTCCCACAGTCTAGTCCAATCCCTGTTTGAAGAGTTGGCCTCGGAAATTGTTTCATTTCTGGGCTGATAGAGAGTCCAGGGTCCATGCTTTCTGGGGTACCTCCAGTCTTAGTCAGACCGTTAAGTCTGGTCTTCTTACTAGAATTTGAGTTCTGCACCCCACTTTTCTCCTGCTCCATCAGGGACTTTCTGTTGTGTTCCCTGTCAGGGCGGTCATTGGTGGTAGCTGGGCACCATCTAGTTCTTCTGGTCTCAGGCTGATGAAGTCTCTGGTTTATGTGGCCCTTTCTGTCTCTTGGGCTAATACTTTCCTTGTGTCTTTGGTGTTCTTCGTTCTCCTTCCATGCTGGTATTTGAAATACCAGTGGCATAGCTTCCAGCATCACAGCAACCTGCAAGCCACCACAGTATGACAAACTGACAGATGGGTAGTGGTAAGGAAATACATGCTTTATGCAAAAACCCAAACTGCTAGCCCACTAGTGAAAATTAGACAAAGACACCCCACATCAGCACACATGGCTTGTGAAGCTGAAGAGACAAGAACCTTCCTCTAGAGCCAACAAAGAGAGAATGCCTTCTTCTAGAACCTGCACACTGAATTTGGACTTCTAGCCTCCTAAACTGTGAGAAAATAAATTTCTGTTTTTTAAAGCCACCCATTTGTAGTATTTCTGTTATAGCAACACTAGATAACTAAGACAGACACCAAAAGCCCAAACTATAAAGAAAAGTTGATAAATTGAAATTCATCATTGTTAAAAAGTTCTGATCTTACCACCAGTGACTGCCCTGACAGGGAATACAGCAGAGAGTGCCGTATGGAGCGGGAGAGAAGTGCGGAGCAGAACTCAAATTCACGGTAAAAGACCAGACTTAATGGTCTGACAGAGACTGGAGGAACCCCCGAAACTATGGCCCCCAGACACTTTGTTAACCCAGAACTAAAACCATTTCTGAAGCCCACTCTTCAAACAAGGATTAGACTGGACTATAAAACATAAAAATTATACTCATGAAGAGTGTACTTCATAGTCCAAGCAGATACATGAGATCAAATAGGCAGCTCCTGTCCGGAGGCAGAACGAGACGTCAGGAAGGGGCAGGAACTGGTTGAATGGACACAAGAAATCCGGGGTGGAAAGGGGAGTGTGCTGTCACATTGCAGAGATTGCAACTAATGTCACATAACAATATGTGTATACATTTTTGTATGAGAAATTAACTTGAGCTGTAAACTTTCACCTAAAGCACAATTAAAAAAAAAAAAAGTTCTGGTCTTTGTAGATGTCATTAAGAAATGAAAAGGCAAGCCACTCACTAGAGAAAATACTCACAATACATATATCTGACAAAGGCCTGGTAGCCAGAATATATAAAGAACTCCTGCAACTGAATGCTAAGAAGACAAACCACCCAATAAAAATCTGCACACAATTTGAACTGATCCTTCCAAAAAGATATATAAATGGCCAATAAACCCAATAAAAGAGGCTGAACATCACTAGTTATCAGGAAAATGCTATTAAACTCCAATGGAATAGCACTACAGACCCACTAGAATGAATGGGTAGAAAATACCCAGTGGTGGGGAGGAGGCGGTGCAACTGAAACTTTCATACATGGCTGATG